AAATTAGATAATGTAGACAACATGGACAAATTAATGGAAAGACTGTTAAAACTGACTCAAGGGGCACCTGGTTGGCTCAGTTGGTAGAGCATGCAACTCTTGATCTCAGGGTTGTGAATTCAAGCTCCACATTGTGTGTAGGTGTAGAGGATTACTTAAAAAAAAAAAAAAAAAAAAAAACTGACTCAAAAGGAAATAGAAAATCTGAATAAAAAATAGATTGAATTAATAATCAACAAAACCTCTATAGAGAAAAGCCCAGTTCCAGATGGTTTTACTGGTGAAGTCTAACAAACATTTAAAGAAGAGTTAAGACCAAGCATTCACAAACATTTCCAAAAAATAGTGAGGGAACATGTTTGAAGTCATTGTATTAGGCCATTGTTATCCTGATACCAAAACTGAATATCACAAAGAAAAAAAACCTATAGACCAATATCCCTTATGAATATAGATGCAAAAATTCTAACCAAAATACTAGTGGAGTTAATCCAGCAACATATAATAAAAAGGATTATACACCATGACAAGGTGGGATTTATCCCCGTAGTGTAAGGGTGGTTCATATGCAAAAGTCAGTAAATGTTAATACACTGCATCAGTAGAACAAACAAAAAGCCACATCAAAGCAACAGATGCAGAAAAAGTATGTGACAGAATTCAACATTCTTTCATGATAAAAACACTAGATCGATAAACAAGGAATGGAAAAGAACAGCTTTTATCTGATACAGGGCATCTGTGAAAAAACTAACATAATAGCTGAAGATGAAAGCTTTTCCCCTAAGATCATGGTAAGGATGACGCCTCTTCACAGTTGTATTCACCATTGTCGTGTAGGTTGTTGCCAGAGTATTTAGTTGAGAAAAAGGAATAAAAGGCATCCAGGTTATAAAGGAAAAGGTAAAAATATCTTCAGTTATCAATAGCATGATTTTTTTTTTACATAGAAAATCCTCAGGAATACATACACAACTTGGTCTGCTCCATGCTGGACATGGAGCTTACTTAAGAAAGGAGAGGGGGGCGCCTGAGTGGATCAGTTGGTTAAGTGTCCAACTCTTGATCTCAGGGTTGTAAGTTAAAGCCCTGCATTGGAGCCTACTTAAAAAAAAAAAAAATACACAATTATTCATGCTAGTAAATAAATTCAGCAAGGTTGCAGGATACAAGATCAAACATAAGAAATCAATTGCATTTCTATACATTGGCAATGAACAGTCTGAAAAATGAAACTATAAGAATTCACAACAGTGTCAGAAATAATGAAATACTTAGTAATTTAACAAAATAAGCATCAGACTTGTTTAGTAGAAACTATAAAACATTACTCAGAGAAATTAAAGAAGAACTAACTGAGTAGAAAAACATGTTCCTGGGTTAGGAGACAATGTTATGGGTTAGAAGATATATTACTCAAATGGCAATATTCCCCAAGTTAATGTATAGATTCAGGGTAATTCCTATCAAGATTTTGGCTGCCCTTTTGCAGAAATTGCCAAAGTTGTCCTAAAATTCATATGGAAAAGGAAGGGACTCAAAATAGCCAAAACAATTTTGAAAAAGAACAAAGCTGGAAGACTTAAACATCCTGATTTGAAAACTTAGTATATATATTTACAGTAATAGTGTGGCGCTGGCATAAAGATAAGCACAGGAATGAATAGAATGGAAATGACAGAGCAGAAATAAACTCTTACATTATGGTCAATTGATTTTTGCCCAGGGGTGCCAAGACCATTCAATAGAGAAAGAATAGTTTTAAAAAATGGTGCCCAGAGTTACGAATATCCTATCCTTTAAAAAGGCAAATTTCAGTGTCTATGAATTATATCTCAATAAAGGGGGTGGGGTAGGTAGGGAAGATACACACACTCTCTCCCTCCCTCCCTCCCTCCCTCTCTCCCTCCCTCCCTCCCTCCCTCCAAAAGACCGGATGTGCTCTGCTAGGAAGAGCTATGAGAGTGGATCACCTCAGAAAGAATCACAGAAGAGAGGAGAGGAGGTGCCACATACACATCTTTCTGAGACAATTCCCTGAGACAATTGTGTGTGTGTGTGTATATAGATATTTTTAAGATTTTGAGAGGGGGAGAGAGAGAGCGAGTGTGCTCAGGAGACTGGTGGGGGGGAGGGTAGGAGGCAGAGGGAGAAACAGACTCCCCACCAAGCAGGGAGCCCGATGCGGGGCTTGATCCCACGACCCTGAGATCATGACATGAGCCGAAGGCAGATACTTACCAACTGAGCCACCCAGGTGCCCCTATGTGTATACGTTTTAATTTGGAAATTGTTACCTTTTTTTTTTTTTTTCTTATTTCAAGTGAGTAGAGACTGACTTTTGAAATTACCTGATACCTATTGCCAGTAGTAGAAGTGTGTCAAGAGCCCGGTATTCTAACACCATTAGCCAGAGTGACTGTCAGGAGAAAAAGGCCATTAGTATCTTTCTTGTGACCAGACTGGTATTGTTGCTAAAAACTATCCGTTGGGAATTAGAAATAGTTTTGGCTTGTAACAGCCTTGCTTGAGAGTAGATTGTGTGTAGTTAGAAAAGAGAAAATATGCCAGTGGGACAAGTATATGGAGGTGAGACTAAATTAATATACAAAAGAAGGAACTGATAAGCATTACTGATGCTTTTAACTATGGCTGGAAGGAGGAAGAGATTTGCTGGACTGGCTTTTTCTTTTCCAGTTTGTCTGGTTTTTGTTTTTTCCTTATTATAATGACTAGGATCTCTAGTACACTGTTAAAAAAAAAATCGAGAGCAGACAACCTTGCCTCATTCCAGTCTTCAAGGGTTTAACACTGTCTTTCACCATGAAGCATATATAATATTGGCAATAGGTATTTTGTAGATGCCTTTTATCAAATTGAGGAAGTTTATTAGTTTGCTGAGTGGCTTTCTAAAAATCTTAACTTGATGTTGGATTTTGTCAAGTTCATTTTCTCCACCTATTACAATTTTTTTTCTTTTTAAGTCTAATTTGGTGAATTATACTGATTGATTTTAAAATGTTAAATCAACATTGCAGTCTTGGAATAAACCTTACTTGGTCATGATTGAATGCCATGAATCCAACCAATTGAATCCAGCAATAAATCATCTCAGGACTCTGAGATCATGACCTGAGCCAAAATCAAGAGTCGGATGCTCAACTGACAGAGCCACCCAGGTGCCCGCTAAGTACTGCTTTAGATGGGTCCCACATTCTTGTTTTTGTTTTCATTCAGTTAACCACTTTTTTCATTTCCCTTTTGATTTCTTCTTAGATCCCTAATTTATTTAGAATTACATTGTTTGGTGTCCCAAATATTTGGAGATTTTCCACATATCTTCATAGTATTGATTTCTATTTGAATTCCATTATGGTCAGAGAAATACTTTGTACAATTTGAGTTCTCTTAAATTTATTGAGATTTAATTTATGGCCCAGACTATGGCCTGTCTTGACAAGGTCCCATGTGTACTTGAAAAGATTGTGTATTCTATATTGTTAGATGGAGTGCCCTATAAGTGTCAGGTCAAATTGGTTAAGTCTTATATATCCTTATTGTTTAAATTTATAAATTTTCTCTTATTTTTTCAATTTTTTTTCTATCCCCCTTTTCCACCTTTCATTCAGTTTCTGTGACTTGTGTGTGTGTTTCGGTGTTTTCCTTTTGGTAGTTTCTATTGTTAGGTCTTCTAGTTTACTAGTCTTTTATTCTGCAATGTCTTATCAGCTGCTAATAACAGCCAGTATATTTTCCACAAGAGTGAGATCTCTTTGGGTCTTTATTCTATCTTCTGTATTTCTCCTTAGCATGCTCAGTCTTTCCTCTACCTTTTTGAATATATGAGAATTATTTATAATGTCTTAATGTCTTTGTTCTGTATTTTTCTGTTGCTTGATTTTTGTTTTCATTATGGGGTTGTATTTTCCAGCTTATTTGTACATCTGGTAATCTTTGTAGCTCAGGCATTTTGAATTTTGTTGCTAGGTACTAGAAAATACATATATGTATATATGTTAGGTTATGTTTATATAAAGTATGTGTAACATGAGTTTATTACATACATCCACATATATTCACACATATGCATACATATACACATACACACACACATACATAGGGGAATACAAACATACATAAGAGACCGTCTCTCCACCCTATCTCTGCTTCACTTGAAGAAGTCAGAAGTCCGTGTTCATAGTGGATAACCAGTTTTAATTTGCATTTTATTTTTTATACATCTGTAGGACAGAGAATCCTACTCCCATGATTTTTGTAAGGCTCTTAGTATCTCAAAAACTGCCAACATCTTTAAAGCTAAATTAATTTCACCAGAAAAAAGTAAGGGTACATATAATACTTGAGGCATAAATTACTTGGAAATTAAGAAAACCCAAAATATCCATCTTGGGTTGGAAGCAGCGGTATAAGGAGCTGAAACCTCCTTGTGCTGCTTTCAGAGGGAGAACTCTCTAACTCCTCCAGCTTCATAGCAGGTCGGACGATTCCCTGAAAGGCAAGCCAGAGTTTGGGCCTCGTTAGTGCGCAATTCCTACATGCTGGCTGTGACCTGCTTCCTTTGAAGCGCTCATTGAGGAGGGGTGCGGCAAAGAAAATGGAGGAGCTAGGAGATAGAAGAGCATCTGAATTGCCCGCCTGCCCCTTTTGTATTAGAAAACAGAAAACCACTTTTCTACTGTGGTGAGCCACCCACTAACATCTCTTTCCTGGGTGGTGGCCTGCCAGGTGCACCCTGTCCTCCAGTGAGGCCGAGAAAGGGCCAGCCGTCAGCTCTGCTTGCAGAAGTGGTACACCGTGCTATGTGAGCTTGCTCTGAAGAGCTAGAGGGATATTCCGGAACCCAGGAGAGCAGGAAAATACACTTAACCTGGATCTTTCAGTGGTCACCATGATGAATGTGTTAAAAGACAAGGGAAAATGAGGGAAATCAAAGTGGCTTCATAGCATTTTCAGACTGACTAATCTACATTTTTGGATCCTTTTTTTTTTTTTTTTTTTTTAATAAGAATGGGGAAATAGTACCTTGAAGCGATGTAAAAAATGTACCAGATCTTCAGTGATTGAGAAGGGCAGGTCCTCAGCTAGGTCCTCAACTATAGAAAAAGAAGCAAGGCATCTGATGACACTGAAATCTGAGTTCACCTATTAGAAAAGTCCCTTTTTATGTGTGAATTGGCACCTTTGGCTTTTTGCTGAAGAGGGGTGTGGCTGTTTTAGCTGTCTGAGGAAGGCTTCAGACTTGTTAGCCAAGTGATGTGAGATGCAGGTGGCCTGATTCTGCCACCACTTTCACAGGCCCTTTTCCTGTCGTCAACCCCGTTTTCCAGCTGTAAATGATGGCCAGTGCCACCAGCCCGTCATAGTATTTTTAATGGTATTTGTATTTATATACTGTAGTACCTTATGAACACTGCTCTGCAGTTAGTGAGGTCTTTGCATTTGCTAATTTTACATCAGACACTGAGTTGAAAAGGTGTCACACCTCTTGCAGATGAGGAAATGGGGAAGTTTCAGGATCAAGAAAGGTTAAGTGACTTGGCCAATGTCCCAAGTACGAGGATCCGGGCAAGAACAAAAGGCTTCTAATTCCAAATTCCTTCTGCTAGAATGTGCTGCCTCCCTCCAGGACTGGCGGAAGATACTGGGGCCAGTCCTCAGGCTGAGGCTTTAATTATTCCGCCTCACTCAGCATGTGATGTACCAAGTTGTGTTTGTAGGTAGCTTAGTGGGAGGTTTTCCTATAAAAGGGACAGGGTCTAGATGTGGGACTGGCCCAGCCTGGCAGGTGTAGAGGTGATGAGAATGCTGGTTGTGGTTTTCTCACAACTCCCCAATTACTGCCTGGTATCATTTGGTACTTACTTTGCTAACTATACTTTTGCAAAAAGAAGCATAAATCAATGCAGTTAATGTAGAAGAGGGCAAAATGTTGCTAAGAAATGCTCCTGGAGATTGGTCCTCACAGCTGATTCTGGGAGGGGGTCTGACTTTACAGTGTTGGCTTAGTCATTTCGGGCACAGGGCTTCACACTTTCAAAACAACTACAAAGGTTGTAGCGGTTGCTTACTGAGATAGCTTGTAGTGTTTAATGGCTAAGCCTTTAACACAGGGTCTGTTAAACTACAGATTTAAATAGTAATGATATTTTATGACCAAACCATTGAAGGAAATTGACAGTCATTTGTTTCCTTAAAAAAATTAAACCTCAAAACCAAATTTATCAAATGGACTGGTATCTCCTGCACTGATTTCCAAACCCCCCACCCTTGTCAGGCTGAACCAAATTGGAAATTTAAACCAAATGATTATATATTTTTCATTTCCTAGCTAACTGGCTTCAATTCCTCAGTCTTCTAAACTCAAAAGTAAATCACAGCAGTGCTGGTTCAGTAAGAGCACATATAAAAACGTTAAAGAACAGGCAGGAGACCTGGGTGGGTGCGCTCATACCCGGAGGATGGTTACTCTAAGTCTGTAGCTCTTCAGCTGCTTTTAATTCTTAATTCCCAGGGTTTTGAATGTCGGGGTGTGATGACCTCTATGAAAGAGCAGCTGATTAGCAACAGTCCAGACTTTGTATTGTACAGTAGATGTTGCCCTCGCCCCCACCCCACGCATACACCTTTGTCATTACACTGAATGTACTACATTGTAATGACTGGTTTTCCTTTTGAGACTGTGACACATGTAATGCTCCTAATTCAAGTTGGCGATCCAAGACCTGGCACATACTTGGCATTTAAAAAAATTTTTGATGTGTCCGGAAATTTTGCAGAAAAAAGGGAAGTACACCACTATTTTATTTTAAAGTCTTTTTTTTTTTTTTTAAACTTTTCACAAAGGATTTGCTGTGAGTCTTCAAGTCATCTTGTCCAATCCAAAAGCTGTATTTAAGCGTCGTGGATCCCAGCCAGGGATGCAAGAATCTGATTTTCTAAAACAGATAACAACAGTTGAAGAACTGGAACCAAAAGCAAGTAACTGCACTAAGGTATTCATTTCACTTGTGCTGCTTGACCTTGTTCGGTGTCAGCATTAAGAAGTGTGGCTACCCAAAAGATTTCCCTCCCCTCTAGGTTCTCGTGTGGCACACTCGGACAGAGAAGGTTAATCTAGCCAACGAGCCAAAGTACCGCCTGGACACAGTGAAAATTGAGGTATAAACTGAAGCAGCAAGTGGTGCAGTTTGCCTGGCTAATGGACGTGGAAGAGGAGTCCGGAGGTCAGGCTGCAGAACGTTCAGGTATTGTGCGCTTGACTTCGGTACGACAGCCTATGTTGTCATCTGACGGACACCTGTTTCAACAGAGCTGGTCTGTCCGCTAACACAGCTGACGGGACGGGATCAAATGTATGTTTTTGTCTTCACTTGTTCTGCATGTCTTCCCTACAACTAAACTGGCAGTTCTTTGTACAGTACGGCTAGTGACACTGGAGGATACGATTGTGAGTATCTTACGTACTTTTTGTTCTTCCCATTTGGCCTTATAATTGGTAGAACTGAGCAGGTTTTAGAAACAAATGACAGGCATTTTGCCCACTAAATGTTCCCAGTCACTCACTTCGCAATGTTTTAAGTTTTGTAAGGTTGGTGGCAGCATACATTGTAGGAAATAAAACCCACAAAAATAAAAAGGTCTATGGATTCATCTGTTTAATATAGGGATATAACATTTTGTCAATACTAGGCACCATAAAATGTAAACACAATTACTGTCATAAACCTGGATATACCTTCAAGGATTGAAAGTGGCTTGTTTAGTTACCCTGTTTGCATACAGTGCAGAGAAAGGTCTTCATGTTACTGGCACTATGTACATAAGAAGAGATCCAAATTACAGGAGAGGCAGATGAAATTTGAGTTCTTTAAACATTCGTTAAACTAAGTTTTGTAGTAACATCCAGGTTTATCTTCCTTTCACTAACCACGTTCCCTGTTAAGCACATCATAACAACAGCACAGTGAAGTGAATGAAGAAATAGAAGAATTTTGATACACTAGAAAACAGTGCTCAGTGATACATTTACATTCTATTTATATGATGAAACATTTGATCATACAGTACCTTCCTAAGGATTACTGGCTAATTTGGGGGTGGTGTTTATACTGTTAGAGGTATTACTAACATGATAACTACTTCCCTTATATGCAGACATTACAGCTATAATTTTATTGAGAGTAAAACTGATTATGCAAGTTGACTGAGCAGCTTCTCAAATAATGTGGTTTATGAAATCATGGGAAATGAGCAAAGCTGCCCTTGACATAAAATGGTTTCTCAACCTGCTTTTCACATCAAATTTAATCAGTACAGACCAACACGGTCAGTCAGATAATTCTTAATAGGAACAAATGGGGAAAAAGAAAAAATATATATGTACATGAATAAACAGGGGAACTAGATGCATTTTAGCAAGGAATGTCAGGTGGTAGTTCTGGATGAAACTTGCATTGCAGTTTTCATTTCCACAGCTGTGTGCTGAGAGTCTGACCCGATGAGCTTCCAGACCATCCTGCTGTTGTGTTGGGGGGCTGGCCAAAACCCACTGTTGGGTTCGTACTACTGATACTCATGCCAGCCATTTGCTGATTCATCTGTGAAACATAAAAAGCTTATTTTAAAAGGCTTACTTCACTTTTAGTTCTTGTTTCTTTAGCCACAGTTAGACATTTTTAAGTTACCCTGTTGTATCAGAAGCTGCCTTTACTGGAGGTTTAGTCAGATAATGAAGTTTAATAGCAATTGTATGTCCTTTTCCTCAATGTGAAAATTAGTCAAAGCACAGGAGTAAAAGCCGACTACCAATTATTTCCCTAGAGAAAGCTACTTTGTTTCCTTCTTGTTCTTTATCTCCTTCCACATTTTTTAACACTGTCCATAAAGTGATCCCAATTATAGTCTATTTATTCATTTTCAAGACTCCATTTTTTTGTCCCCCAAAGATTAACAACTGAAAAAAAAAGCACCAAAGCAATCTTTGAATTTGTATCTGAGTCCACTATTCTTTTCAACTCTACCAGCATGTTGTTCTTTAACTGTAAGGACTGAGGACATTTTAGAAAGTAAGATACTCCAAAATTATACATTGTGGATGACAGCTATTATTCTGTCTTTATTAAAATCTTAAATGGTTCTATATACTTTCTAAATATTAAAAAAGGTCATAAAGCATACCTTTTCTTTTGCTTAGTTAACCACTAAATATCTAAAATTAATTTTCATTATATAAGGTATAAGATTATATATATTTTTATTCCAGACTGGAATCATATATGTATAGAGGCATCCTAACCCTTTCCCTGCAGTACTCTAACACTGATGATAAGGAAAGGCAAGATTTATCACAAAGCACAGAGTGGATTCAAAATCTATGCTCAGGGTTGGAATGTATTCTTAATAAAGTTCATTTGTTATTTTGCAAAGACACTAATGTTCACCACACTGCTGATGAGGCATAAGTGTCCTACTAAAGGATGCTATAACCACCTTTCGCTGAGAGGGTGCTGGAAAACAGCAGCACCCCTCAGCATGCCTGGAAGTAAGGGCCAACAGTAACTCCTCACGGATTCATCTAGCACCTTAACCTGAGCTGGGTATGCTTCAGCACTTTGTCTCACAAAAGCTGTTACTGACATTTGGTACTTGAGGTTCCCAGAGGATAGAGCTCAAGAGTGAGATGCTTAACCAACTGAGCCACCCCCCCCCCCCCCGGATAATTCCTTTAAATAATGACAAGAGGGGCACGTGCCTGGCTCAGTCAGTAGAGCGTGTGGCTCTTGATCTCAGGGTTTTGAGTTTGATCCCCACGCTGGGTGTAGAGATTACTTTAAAATAAAAGTGGCATTCATGGGATATACAGTGTTTTGGTAATGTTAATTATCACTATAGACTATTCTCTGAATGCTCTCAAGGTAAAACAGCTGACCAGAACAGAAACCAAGATCCCCCAAATGCTAGAGAAATCAAATAAGAACTGTAAAGGGAAGAGTTGCTGGAGCATGAACAGAAGTCTAAGGTCAGAATGGAGCACTAATACAGAAACGGATCTGAGAAAAGTTAAATTGTCAGCTTTTGGCTTTAAACTAACGTAAGTAGAAATGGGATTTTGTAATATAAGGGGATGTCTGAGACAAATATGGACTTGTCCCTAAGTAAACAAAAATATTTCTTATAAAGCCAAGGGCAGTAGTCACATGACATAGAGAACAGTCTAGATCCCTCACAAAATAGTGCTTTGAGAAGAGGAGGCTGGATATTTTTCTAATTTGTCAAAGTTACCACATAAACCCCAAAATTATTAGTGACGGTAGGCTGGTCTAAGTAGACTATAAAAATACCCCAAAAGGGAGCTGGGTTAAAAGCTTGGTGCTAATTTCATGGGAGGGGAGAAGACAGGAAGTCTCTCAAGATGCCCAAGACAATTTCTAGCTATTACAAACAGGATGTTCGCCAGTGTTATAACCTGAAGTGAAAAAATGCTTAACATTTCTTTATAGAATATTCTAAATATAGTCAGTGACTGCTCATCTGTCTATGTGATGTAACTTCGTAATACCTATAAACAGTTCTCACCTCATACAACATACCCCTACTCCAGTCTTTCTGCCAGGTTGTTAGATTTAAATAAAACCATTTAGAAAATAAATCCAGTTTCTTTGATTCTGGAGAAGTTGGAGAGCAAATGAGCTCTTACCTGTGAGAGGTTCCACTGGGGCTGTTGAGCTTGCGGCAGGCCAAACTTACTCTGGGGTGCACCCATCTGTCCCACCATTCCTCCTTGGGGGCCAACCACATTTGGAGGAAGTGGCATCACACTAGTTTGTGCATTTCCCATAAACCCATTGGGCAAGGGCATGCCCACCATCATGCTTGCACTCTGTCCCATCACATTTCCGAGAAGGCCAGGAGCTGCAGGGGTAGGCACAGGCACACCCATTGATGGAAAACCTTGAAATGCAGTCGGTGCTTGTGAGGTAAATGGTATATTTGTGGGTCCCATAAACACACCTGCATTTTAAGAACCATGAAAAGAAAATGAGAAAACAGGGCTATTGTATACAGCTGCACTCATCTCTCTAATCACAGAAAAAGGATCACCATCTTTCTCAACTACCCACAGCAAAAATTTTAATTCCAGTCTGCTCCTACTGCTCAAACTCACACCATAACCCTCAGAGCTGGTTACTTCCCGAATGCAGTTATAAACCTGAGCAGCACATTTAATCAGGATAAATAAATCTTATGCAATAGCTATAGAAAATATCCAAACTACGTAGCATGAGATTACGTGCTGACGAGCACCACTGGGCTCCCACTATCAAACAGTGAGAGCTGTCTGCCTTTAATAGAAGCAGGTGGGATGGCCTATAACTTAGCTCACTATTTAGAGGAAATGGGCCTAACACATTATGTAAACAACAAATCTTACTGTGCAGTATTTCATTATAATTATTAAAAACTCAAGTTTTGGAATTCTTGTGGTAACAGTGCTTATTGTTTACTTACAGAAAACTACTATACACAAAGTTGTAAACTTCATGCAAATCAAAATAATTCTTCAAACACAATCCATGTCCTGTAACCTTGTGAAACAATATTAAGTGATATGTGAACAGCTTGTTAATTCTAAGTGAATAAAGTTCTGTGAATCCTGTATATGCCTTTTTAATTCTAATGCTTCAATTCTGTATTTGCACAAATTGCAACAAAGGTACCCATTACATAGAAAAACAACACAAAGGGTTTGCTTCTAGTAATGTCACTACACGTTGCTGACAGCGGATTTTAAAACGAATTACCAGGAGTACTCTGCTGCTGAATGGTTCCTGTACCATACAAAGATAAGATGGAGTCTTTGGAGAGTTGTTTCTTTGCCACCTCTTCTGACTTTGTAGCTTGCTCAGTGAACAGATCCAGATCTCCAGATATTACTGTAGACAGAGTGGCAGCTGCAGGTATAGAGGGCGTCCCCTGAGACAAATACCAAAGCAAGCTGTCAAATTCTGCATACTGAGACATAGTTACTTAAAATCTAAATGCAATTAGAAATTAATTGAACAAGGTAATATGGTGACATTATAGAGGATCATTCACAAGCCCACATAAAAACAGTATCTAGGAGGAAGGTACAATGTTTCCTATTTTGAATCTGTTGCTGGAAGAGAGGCAGGCTGAAGCTCTTTCATAATAAGTTGCGTTTACCTGCTCAACTGACAACCGAGTTTTTGCCCGTCACATCCCGACCCACATCCTGACCACAGTGGCTTAAACAACAGCATGTGATGGCCGTGTGAGGACCACCACTCCTGGAAGATGCTGAGGCATCCCCTCTGGCAACTACTACTCCAAGCATCTGGTAGCCCTTGAAATAAAGAACATTGCTACAAGGACAGCATACTCCAAGAGGGTCCTGCGAAGGCTGATCTTGTCTTCTTTGAAAAAAAGAAAAGGCTTTTTCAAACGCTGCATCAAGATATTTTTATAAATCTAACCTAGATCAGTTTTAACCACAACATTAGGATGTTTCTAGTCCACCCAGAAATGAAGCACAGCTAAGTTCAACCACCTATACTCTCAACCATATCTTCAACCCCACTTTTGGACAAGGGGCAAAGGAACACAAAGAAACATGTAGACACGAAACAAAAATTTTCACTTAATCTATATCTGCACACAAAGTGAGATTGTTATAGCTGTGATAGTATAATGATCTCTAAAGTCACTAAATATTCAATCACATTTGTTTACATGAAATTGTTTTATAGGTGAAGAGTTTCAAAGAATTCTAAGAACAGTAAAAACTGAGTAAGAGTCTTCTCAACCTATAGAATAAGGTGAGAGTAGTAGGTACAAGCTAAAAATCATGCATATGATTTGTCTTAATTTTTTAAAAATTCAGACATTCAGGTTGGCTAAAAAACCTAGCAATAAATTACCATCCAAGCATTGTATTCACAAATTCAAGCAGATCAAGATGTTGAATCTATTATGACAAATTTTTGAGATAAGCCACTTAATTTTGCAAAAGATCTAAAATGCGTAAGAAATTGGACATAATGGAATACCAAATAAAACAATATGCTTGAATAAAGTATTATCTGAACTACGAATGATGCAACAGAAGTTCACAGAAGCTAAGAGCAAGAGCTCTGGAGCCAACCTGCCAGGACTAGAATTCTGGTCCCACTGCTTACTAAAGAAAGTGGTACGTTGTACCCTTATATTGTCACTTAATCTCCGCTGTCTCTCTTCTCTAAACTTGGGGATAATAAGATTTCCCACCTTACACAGTTGCTTGTGACCACAAGAAGTGCTCTGTGGCAGGGTTAAGCACTCAGTGTTTACTGTTAATGTTGTCAGGTAATGAAGCAACCATCTCACTAATCTTTCCATCATGTTTAGTTTCTGTTCAGTCGAAGAACCTGCTTAAAATCCAAAATGGCTGGGAAACCTATTACAGTAGCTCCCCCGTTTCCACCCCTTCCAAGATACATTCCAAGTACCCTGTGGATGCCTGGAACCACAGAGAATACCAAAACCTACATATACTATATATATACTATGCTTTTTCCCTATACATCCATACCTCTGATAGTTTAATTTAGAAACTAGGCACAGTAAGAGATTAACTAAAATAGAACAATTATAACAATATACTGTAATAAAAGTTATGTGAATATGGTCTCTCTCAAAATACACTGTACTCACCCTTCTTGTGATGTGAGACGATAAAATGCCTACGTGATGAGATGAAATGAGGGGAATGACAAGTGAGGCATTGTGACAAGTGTTAAGCTACTACTACTGATCACCCGAAGATCATCTGCTTCTGAACTGTGGGCAAGTGAAACCACGGAAAATGAAACCACAGTCTCATCCTAGAGCAGCCTAATATTCACATGCTCTAAACATGGATATTTCTTCTGATGAGGGTGGATAAAATAGAGTATCTACCTCAACATGGTCATAATCTAAGAAGAGCCAAACCAAATAGCATGATGAATAAGCACTCATATGTCTGTTTTCATTTTTTGGTGCTCCATTTGACAGCAGTACAACTCCAGGAAAAAGAAGAACATTTGCCTATCAATTTACACTTTGGGACGCTGCAGAATCCCTAACCAGAGGTTCTCTGGCTGTCGGGATCCTAGGGCTGACCCAAGGAGAAGGCACAGCACTCGTGCAGGTCTAGATACTGTTTGTATATGTATATTATAGATAGAAGGAAAGGGATGGCTTCTACAAGTCACCTCTGGGGATTCTGGAATGATTCCCTCTGAACCCCCAATACACATGTGCATTCTGGTTAGCTGAGTATATCTAACCTTCTTCACAAGACTACACAGCCAAACAGGTAAATCTCACTTTCACATGAGTGGGAAATCTTTTTTTTTTAACATTTTAGTTATTCAGTTGAGAAAGAGAGAGCACAAGTGGGGGAGGGGCAGAGGGGGAGGCACAAGCAGTTATGGGGCTGATCCAGGACCCCGAGATCGTGAACTGAGCCCAAGTCAGACGCTTAACCGGCTCGGCTGAGCCACCCAGGCATTCCTGAGTGGGAAATCTTTTTAAAAAACATTAATTATGAACGAAATGAGCACTGAAAGAATTATAGGGGCTCAGAGTAATTCCTATTTCTGTCCAATCAATTTTACATAATAGAAACCCAGCAAAATTAGTAATTTCATAGTGGGAGTGTATGTATAAAATGTGTACTTTAACCTGCCTTTCCCCTCTCCCCATTTTGAAAGCCATTAGTTTGAAAACATATCTGGGTTTTAACCTTTACATGTAGTTCAGATGAAAGATAATTCTGTTCCCCAAGTATTTTACAGGGCTCACAATACAACTGGCACAGTTTTGGTCCAAAAACAATGCTCTAAAAAAAGAATTAGATGTGATTTTAAAAAAAGCAGTCATGTTACTCTTAGTTATTAATGCAGAATGCACAAAGCATGCAGGTCAGACCAACCCCTCATGAAGGCAGGAGCGACACCCCATATTGCTTGTCGGGTGCTCCTTAAGAGTTTAAATGACGTCTGCATTGTTCTACCTGCTTTGATACTGAACAGAACACATGAAGGAGTACGCTGAAGCCTCAGATGTGGGGTCTAATTCTCTAAGCAGCTGCAAAGAAACTCTCACAGTCCAGTGCAATCGAAGGAAGTCTAGCAGATAAAACAGCCTCACTAGAATGCTACACCAAGAGAAACTGCTTTTCATGCTCAGACTGTCAAATATTCTAAATGCTTCTTTCTGAAGCCACAACATTAGCATTAGACAATTTTTACTACCACATGAATACCCCTGCCTGCACAAATTCACAAGGTGCTTAATGTTAACTGAAACCACAGTAGTAACAAACAGTTCCTCTTTTTATGTGTTGGGGGAGGGAGAAGGAGCCAAGTCATAAAATAAAGCTATCTTTTCTGAAAATAAAAAATGATGCAGACAATTTTGATAAAGATAATTTAAACTAATTCCTCAAATTTATTTGCTCAATTCTATTGGTAATTATACAATGACTATCATAATAACAAAAAATATGTGTAATAAAATAAGCAAATTAATCTTCTTAGTAAGACATAGATTCTTATTAAAACTTTCTACCCAAACAATATACATTTGGCTCCGTTTTTCTAGAGAAAAGGGAAATATTTTACCTCAAAAATTATGCTGTACTGAAACAAACTACTGTTCATTTATAAAGTATAAATTTAAAATAGAATCTTAAAGCTGTATGCTTAAGAGTAACCTATATCCCTAAAAAAGTTCATATATTCACCTTAAAGAAAGCTAAATACTTCATGGGATCACTTGTATGTGGGATCAAAAAAAAAAAAGTTGAATTCATAGAAAGCAAAATGGTGGTTACTGGGACTCAGGAGTGGAGGAAATACAGGGAGGTTGATACAAACTCAGTTATAAAATGAATTAAGGTCTGAGGGCCTACAATGTGACGATAGTTGATTATACCGTATTACATAACTGAAATTTGTGAAGAGAGAGCTAAAGTGTTCTCATTAAAAAAAAAAAAGTAAATACATGAGGTGTTGGATGTGTTAATTAACTTGGTGGGAATCAAATATACACTTTAAGTATTTACCATTTTACTTGTCAGTTATACCTCAATAAAGCTGAAAAAATATTTAAAAGTATTAAGCAATTTACAATTTTAAAAAAGGAATGAAGGCAAAAAAATTCCATGTAGTATTAAGAACACAATTCAAAATTTCTTTACCATCAATATGTAAAAAAGTTCTGATCATTAATATTGTTCTAAATATGGGGCGCCTGGGTGGCTCAGTCGTTAAGCGTCTGCCTTTGGCTCAGGTCATGATCCCAGAGTCCTGGGATCGAGCCCCGCATCGGGTTCCCTGCTCTGTGGGAAGCCTGCTTCTCCCTCTCCCACTCCCCCTGCTTGTGTTCTCTCTCTGTCTCTCTCTGTCTCTCTGTCAAATAAATAAATAAAATCTTTAAAAAAAAAAATATTGTTCTAAATAATTTTTTAAAAATCATTTTAAGAAGTAAAAACAGTGTGTCCACTATACTTCAGTTTTAAAAAAAGGTTTTAGGACTAACTTAAAACAACTAATCTTCATAAAAAATATGAGTACTGAATTTGCTAGAATTTCTTATTCTTGGTTTTCCTGCAGCCAGAGCTAAATCTTCAGAATGGCTCAATACAGCATAAAAAAAGAACTACTGGCTTGTAATCAATATTTAAACACCCATGGTTTTAAAACCTCTGAAGTGACCTTGTTAATCTCAGGCAAGTTTGAGATAGTCTGAGTTTTCCCACTGGTTCACTCTAAACAGCACTGTTTGCCTAAAGCAGGAGTCAGCAAACTTTATACAGTGACTATTTATTAGGCTTTGTGGGTCAAACAGTGTCTGTCATAACTCTTCAACTTGTAGTGTGAGAGCAGCCACAGACAATATATAAACAAATGGAATGGCTGTTTCAATAAAACTTTATTTGCAAAAATGAGCTGCAGGCTTAATTTGCCAACTCCTGGCCTAAAGAATAAAGTTTTCAAATCAGAGACTGCTCAGAGACAATTCTTTCAAAATTAAAATTTTGAGACTTTTCAAAAAAGAAGTCGTGATCATGTAAAACCATATTCTTATTACATACCTGAGCTGGGGGTATGACAGTTGCAGGTAAGGGATTAGAAATCATTGGTCCAAAGATGTCTAGATCATCATTCAGGGACGGCAATGTGGTTGTGTTCCCATTGGTCACTGGTGCCTCAGCAGGGCCATCTGAAAAGAATATAGATTCTCATCCTAAAGTAGATTCTCTTAAATTACTTGAAACATGGCATCATTGAAAAAATATATGGTTTAAAAAAAAAAAGTTCAAAAGTTGACAACAAAATATATGTCCCCCTTTTACCCCAGGCTCTCTCCTCTTTCCCAAAGAAACTATTTCCAGTTTTATTCTCCCAAAAATATTCTTTACTCACCGGTTTCTAGGTATAATATATCCAGACCCCATTTTTACAATAGTGGTATTACACTATTCACATTATTCTGCATCCTGATGCTTCCTTACGTGCCAGGCACTGTTCTGAGTACAGACATTAACTCATTTAATTCCCATAACGTTATGAGACAGACACAACTATGACACAAAAGAATTCAAATATGACTCATGAAAGCATTTTTTTTTCATTTCTAACCACAAATGGCAACATTCATTTGAAGTCAGACCTCTTAAAAGAACTAGTTCATGTTTTCCAGTCCATTCCGCATTCCACTTACATCATGTATTATACATCATGTAAATATGAACCAGAAATAAAATATTTTAAAAGGACAAGATATTCTAGATTAAAAACACAATTAAAGGAACATCTTTTTTGTGGTATCTACAAGAGCTCAGTAAAGAAACTCAAATAACAAGGACATGTGAGCCAGTGGTGCCCATAAGCTGCAGAGGTGGGGACAGGGAAACAACCTCATCAAACAGACATGTTTAATTCTATCATATGAATAAGGAAGCATTTTATTAGCAGAAAATATAACTATATTTTATATATGCAGTTTAAATTCACACAAAAAAAGCACATGTCCTATAAAACAATGACCAAGAGGAACAAAGGTAAAAAAGCAAAAACCTGACAAGTTGAGTATAAACTATGTATTTCCAGTTTTTCAGTTAAAATTTTTTGCTTCTTCAATAGCAAACACTAATAATTAGGAAAATTTTACGAAAAAAAATACCTTACACATGAGAAAATATTATCTTTTATTTTTTGGTGAATACAGAAAATGTCATTAATTGATTTTTATCACAGGTCATGTCAATCTAGTTTACAGGACACCAGTGAGCCCAGGATACACTGTGTGAGAACCAAGAGGTTCACCTACTCCAGGCAAATGATCTGTGTCCATACTTTTATAAACTGTACATCTTTCAGAAATTTAGGTCTAGGTAGTACACTGTACTTCATTAAGAATATTTATACTTTCAAATCTAAATTCTATTCAGTATCTAGTAGTACATTATCTAAACTATAAAACAACATGCAGTACTTTATTTGGTTTTTGAAGTCTTATTTTACCCTTCATACCCTGAGGATCACATATGTGACTAATAAAAATAACAGCCAACACTCAGTATAGTGCTTGTTTCGTGCCAGTCTAAAAAAATACAAATACATAAACACATATATGCGCTTTAGTCTTTATACTGATGCTATGAGAGAGGTACTATTAATTACCCTCACTTGCAGATGACAAAAACATTAAATTTGTCCAACGTCACAGAGCCAGAGCAAAGCCTTGGGTTATAATATCTAAATCAATTTTTACTACAGAATCAACACATTCTTGGAAAAGATACAAACTATGCAAAAATTAATAAAAGTTCCTTACCATAAATGATGGTAATGGTTGCACAATAATGTGAATGAATGTACTTAATGCCACCAAACTGTAAACTTAAAACTGGCTAAAGCGGTAAATTGTACATTATGTGTATTTTACAATACAAAAAGTCCCTACATTTTTTATGCTTATAAACAAATGCTTAAAAACATGCTTAAGACAATGTATATACAAAAGTCGTTTTCTTTAGATAAAATTGTTTTTGTGTGGGTGAGGGTGGACTGCATTCTATACTGCATGGACTTAAAATAACTTATTTATTCAGCCCTTCACTACTGGACATTTAGGTAGTTTCCAGGCTTTCACCATTACAGAAACAGTAAATATCCACAGTCCTTCATATAAAGCCCACACAGCTCACTTCCTTCACAATTTCATGTTCTACTACTGGACTGCAAACAGCTTCATTTTCTCATTCCATTAAAAATTATTTGCATTTAAAATCTGACCTTTCAAAATCTCAGAAAAGCATTCCACACAAACTCCACCTACCAAAGTGGAGCTGCCATGAAAGTCAACTCATAATGTTAAGTCCAAGGAACTTTGGAATCCTTTAGAATAAGACCCACAAAGCATCTCCTTAGAAATAGTGATCTTTACGGCAAGGTTGCCACTGTTTCCAAGTGGTTAAGGAAGATACTGTTTTAACTACAAAAACCTAAGATGAGGAACTTTCTCCCAGGTCTGACCAAGGTTTCCAATCCAGCCTCGTGACAGACAACGGTGACTCTTCTCTGCTTTCACATCTGCAGCGCACGTGTCTTCTTTTCTCTCTACCCTGGTTTTCTCCCCATATAATCCCCTAAATATTACCCCATTGATTTTTCTTGTTAATACAAAAGCTAAGCATTCACAGAATTGTTGAAAAACAAATCCTTAACCTAAACAAAAACTTCTCAGCCTTGCATAATCAGTAAATACAAGTTCCCAATGGGTTTTCCCAATGGATTTTAATGTTTGTGAATTTGACTTGCTACCCTGGCCTGCTGTTTAGCATTCTTTAAAAAGGATTGTTTCAATTCATTTTGAAGGTTGTGTTTTTGATTGTCAGCATTTAAAAAGGACAGTTAAAGACTGTCATTATCATCATTATAAACATCATAGTTCCCGGACATTTTAAAAGAATGTTTACATGTTATCATTTTTGTCTCTCTGAAAGATGGGAAAGGCATCTCTTTCCACTATCTCCAGTAACAGAAACCAGGGCACCAACAGATTAAAAGACTTGTTCAATGTCACTTCCCTAGTTAAACAGCAAAGTCTGCACTAGAACGGAGTCTTCTGATCCCTAGGCTAGTGAGTGCTCTTTACTTTAAACCACATTTCATCAGTAGTCACGTAATTAAAACTGTACCTAATTACGAAGACGTCACTTAAAATTCTGAAATTTAAAAGCCAACTTTTTTTTTTTAAAGATTTTATTTATTTATTTGACAGAGAAATAGCAAGAGCAGGAACACAAGCAGGGCGAGTGGGAGAGCAGGCTTTCCGCCGAGCAGGGAGCCCGATGCGGGGCTCAATCCCAGGACCCTGGGATCATGACCTAAGCCGAAGGCAGATGCTTAACGACTGAGCCACCCGGACGCCCTAAAAGCCAACTTTTAAACAGTTTATAATTATTTGCACCAAGAGCAGCAGTGACACCAAAGGTTCAAAAACCATTCAGCACCACATGCACAGTTCCTCTTCATCTCCCCATTCCACTGTCCTACCAAGCCTAGTATCTTCTCAATTTACAGGGAAGGACACAGGTGGATGTGGTCATCAATGAGCAAACTGGGCTGAGGGAAGCAAGTATCGGGTATAGTCAGCCCTGGGTCAACATAGTATTTACATATCACAGTGAGTTCAATGAATCCTTTTGATCAAGGGTCCACTAATAGCACAGTCTTTGCTGACTGAATAAAAGCGCAGAGTCCACAAAAGCAACAGAGAAGTGGACGTCTGTGCAAACTAATCAGAATTCACCACAGTCATGCACCTCGGAGTGAATGTTGGGTTCCTTCCTCAGCTACAGAATGGTGGTGGGAGCAGCCAGCAGCAGGAGGATGGAGCAGCCCCCTTTAATCAGTATGCAGAAACAGTAGTTGGCGGACAATAAAAATAATGGGAGATCCACAGTACAAGAAAAGCCTAAGGCAAATGGAAGAAATTTAGCTGGGGACAACATCATAAAGAACGATAATGAAGCACAAAGGACCCCCTGAAAAGGCAATGAGCAAACTGAAGAAATTAGGACAATGCAGTAAAGTGAAGGAGGAATTTCAATCTTAAAGGCAAGGGATCAAGCCTACAGTTAGCTGCTTGTGGGTAACTGTTTTCTTTCAATGTTACCTTAAGGTTTCAAAGCAGTGTTTTATCTGAAAACTGAGTTTGTAGATGTCTGCTTTAAATTACACAGATACCATCAATTTACAAGAAAATGTTAAAATGTTTCGAGCTAAAGAAAAAAAAGTTGTTAAAATCAGTGCTACATCTCACATGAACATAAGGCATGCCCAGCATGCATTTACTGGCCTACTTTGCATCATGACACTGATAAATGCCTAGAAAGAAGGTAACATTTCAAATATGACAAAGTCATGAAGGCCAGTCTCTGTCTTCTAGAAATCCTCAATATGGTGAGTAAGACTGCTGATTCTATTAATTGTGGCTATGCCAGAACTCATCTAACACCAATAATCCAAAAGAGTAAAGGTAAAAAAAAAATAGAACAAAACAACCAAAACAAAACAGTAAGACAATATTTAGTGTCTTCTTTTTGGTTCATTCCAAGTGCCTTTGAATGATAATTTGTAAACTAAAGGAAGTAAGAATATAATACTTTGCATTTTAATAACACATTTTTAACACTAGTATTTTTATTTAAATTCTATTGCCAGGTACTTTCACCAATGCCTTATATAAAGTATCTGAGTTTAATCATATCACCTCAAGAGAATTTTACACAAAGTCTAGGATTTCAACAGAAGTCTGGTGGTGTACCTAGAAAACTCAACTGCCATAACCAGTTTGAGAAGCTTTTTCTGGAGCACCCAAGCAGAAACTGGTGCCCCTTCCCCATCTAGGGTTAAAACAGTTAAGTGGCAGTTGCCCTATGTCCCTAATAAAACCACGTGGAGGGTGGGGCTGGCTTTACTACCACCCTGCCCAGGCACAGTACTTGGCCCGAGCTCCCTTCTAAGGCAATTGATGACTCCCAAATCCAGAAGACCTAACACCACTTCCATTGTAGACCCATCCATCTGGTCAGCCAGGCCTACTGACTTTTCCACCCCAAATCCAGGGGCTGCAAAAATGGCGACCTTCCCAAGTACCTCAATATTTTCATTTTTAGGGTTTCTAAAAAATATTTTATTTATTTATTTATT